ATCTGCTGGTTATCGCAATTCTTAGTTCAGGCTGCAGAAGTAATCAGAACTCAGATCCGCCTTGTTTTTTCCCCACAACTTTTTTTGAATAATTTTCGACTAAAATCATGAGTTTCCAACCATACGATTAATGAATTAATTCTGAAAAAAATAGAATAAACTTTACTAAATTCGAATTCCTTTCAAAATCATAGTGGCGCTTTGAATGCTTATGTAGCTTAACAATGAATTTGTGGTGTCTAGCCGATTCAAAAGTCAGAGCATTCGTAATCTCAGACGAGTCTGGAACACTCGACATATGGGAGGCTTGAATGATCTGGGCGGATTCGGGATTCGATATGCAGATCCTGTGTGTGTGTAAAAGTACGTCATATGACACTACATAAACCACCTTCCTCTACATACTGATTATTGTAAATCACTAATGTGATAATAATTTAGTTTGACTCGAAACTCATTATATAGCAATGTATGCGGAATTTACATGTAGATAATCACAAAAATGAATAGAANAAAATGAATAGAATCATGGTAAGGATGAAATGTTCGTCTCATACGCATCGCTAGGCAGCAATACAATTTTAGGAAATGAAGCTCATCATAATAGAGAGTAGTCACGAAGCCACTCATAACAACTATTTTGAAAATCTCAAAAACCATAAGGATGCTGGTGTTCCAGGAGAGTTAGGGAACATATGACGGAGTGTCATCTCCCACTTTCTAAAATTGATTGTTTTTGGAGGTTCTCGGACCTTATCAGGACTTCAGCTGAAAATGTTAAAAAATCTGTCGCCATTCGGTATCTTTCAAACGGATGAAGTACCAATCGAAGTTAATCAACTGTTATTAATGGTCGAAAAGGGATGGAGAGGTGTATGTATGTATTTCCGATTCTTTACCGTGTTCCTGAGTTCTATTGTGAAGCTTCAATCCTTGTCAGAAGTCACTCCTCAAAAGCACACACTGAACTATGTGGAGGAATTGGTCCTCAGAGAATCGAATCTGCCCAAACCCGCAGGGCCAACCAGCTTTCCATTGTATCGAGGTCGTTTGATCAGTATCAGGGACGATAAAAGCGCTGCCTAGTGCACTGCCTGGCCGAAGGAAGTCACTGTCTAGACCACCTACCCAGAAACAACTACGTTACGATTCCAAAGGGAAGTCGAGTGCTAGGGGGCATCCGACGAACGGGATTGATCGAAGCCGAAGCCATTCTCCTTTATTGTTTCAATCTCTTTATAAGACAGTAAATCATTTGAAGAGGGCTGCGAAACTTGCAAAGGAGGAGGCTAAACATACAGCTTGCTCTTTAAGATCGGCAGTCCGCTTTCTTTTGTGAGTTCCCAACTTATCAGCTGTTTTTGACAGCTGAGGAAAGTTGCCGTCTATTTCTTGCTGGCTTCATATTCCTGGTCAGAAAAACTTTGGCCAACCACTAGGCGCAATGTTTAGTAAGTCCTGGAGCTAAGTGTAGTGTAGCCTGGAGTGTACTGCTACTGTTGGGTTGATGGTAAGACTTATGTTCCATACAAATTTCGTGCCGTAGCTGGTCTTTTGGCATTCCTCACTGTCCAACTTATTACCATGATTTTTTCGCTCCCATTTTCTTAGTGATGTATTTAACACAGCTTATCAGCAGTAGGACATTAGAACTTTCACAATGACAAAATGTTCCCCATTATGACATGGACTAGGCGGTAGGTGACCGACACAAGACTATGTATTAGCAGCCGTCGCCACCAGATCTGTAGTTTTCGAAGAAAAAGTCGGGACCCTATGGGCGCATCGAAACTACCAGGCACGTCAATACAGCCTATTTGAGATGCTCCAGATCTTCAGTCATTTTTCGCAACTCTAGCGTTTCGCTATTCACAAAATTTGTGATTTCTTTTCTTCAAATAGTACCCCTTTCTCTTTTTTTGCATGTTGACAATTCTGGTATTCATACCTATATTGGAAGGAAAAATGAGAGAGACAACGATCTGCGAAAAAGGAATTATAGAGAAACGTTATCGGGGAAAATTGCTGTTTCATTGATTAGTGCCATTAGTACATGATGAGGACCGCGACGGAACCTTCTGACCCATAATAATTGTCACAGTGTTTAGTTTTACCATGCCCTTACTTCACACTCAGGTCACGATAGAAAAAATTTCAGAAATTGCATAAAATATTTATAAGTACATAATAAAAACATCAAAACCCTTGTTGTAAACGTCCTCTTTCGCTTCTATCTATGGAGACCACGCCGAATACAATTGCTTGAAGTGATCATCAATACGATGAACGCCCTCTTTGGATACTGCAGAAAGTTGCTTTCCGTTGATGTTCAAGATTCCACAACGCGATGTGAGGCGGGTTTTCAACACTCGGCGGAGGTCTCCAATTGTCCACAATAACCACCACACCAATATTGCGAAGGAACTAAAATTTTACGATCAAAAATATTNCTTTTCACTGTTCCGGATAACAGCGGTGCTGAAACGCGGTACACTACACCTCTGGGATACACGAGTGGGTGGCAGGAGGGGAGGGGGGAGAGGGGGGTGTGGTTGATTGAAGAAGAAGTCGCATGCACGAAGGAAGCCAAAGAGTCATACAAGGTGGTGGTTTGTAACATGCTCAAATCCATGCTTGCACTTTGCACGGTCGAGAAAGAAAGATCGTATACGAGAAGAAAAGTCATTGAGGAAGGGAAGAGGAGGAAGATTGTATGAGCAAAACCATTTTCTGCAGCGCTCAGGCTGACTCAGTGTGGTCATTAGCCTTGACGGATTATGACTTCCTTTCATTCTGGTGGATTTGTGACCGCTTGGAAGCGTTAAATCACTAAGTCGGTGGTCTTCTCGTACATAAGCTGGAGTGGTTTAGGCAGAACGGCCGGATTAGGTGGGATGTTGATGAAATGAGGGATAGAGTAGTCGTGAGGTGTAGCCAGGGACAGAAGCCAATGGATGGCTGGAACTAGGCTTAGATTCCAGGGAAGAAAACTAAATCCCTGTTGGAACAGGATTATCTCCCGAACCCATCCTCAGTTTAGGCTTTTGTCGAGTGCACCTGAAGTTGTCGAAGACATGGATCAACCATGTAGTAAGGGGGTAAATATAAAAGGAACTCACAGAGCCGTGTAGTTGTTAAACAACGCATAGAATAAATGTACAAGCGGATCCGTCCCATCGCAAAATATAAAAGCTGAGCTGAAAAGCCCGCATCCAAAAAACCCCCACACTGAATAACCCACGGAAAGGAACACCAATAGCTAAACACAAACATATAAATACACAAAAATGAGTGTATCCATCAGTGAAATACTAACAAGTGGAATACTATAAACGAACCCTGGTGACTCGAACATTTTCCTCAAGTTGGAATTTGAGGCTTAGTGTGTAGGTGACCGTTGATAGACCCGTTTTGTTCGTGAGATCGCGTAGGATGGCCACATCTTTACGATGGACCATAATGATAGCCACAGATGATAGTGTCATAATAAGTACGGTTATTAGAATCATGACCAATATGAAAAAAGGTGACATACATGCTGAAATTGGAAATTTCATTTGTTAAGAGTAATTCGAAAAAAAAGAGTCCAAATTGTGTCTAGTATTTGGCTCTATAGCCCCTTTCAAGTTGCCCCGTGCCAGCCTCGTTCCAATGCTTGACCAACGGAAATACGGAAATAGAGATTCGGATACTTTCCAAACGCCCCAATAGCTGGGACAGCTTCTGCCCAATTTGTTATGTTAGGGTCGCATGGCATCTCTTGACCGTTTTGGTCAAAATTTTGAGGAGGAAGCAAAAACATGAGGTTCTCTCTGTAACCGTAGCTAATTACTGATTATTTGCACAGACAATAATGATAGGTGGGAAAGACGCCAAAAAATTACAAACATGCAACTCTAAATTTTCACCAATCATTCATGGCACCACCAGTGAAACTAAATGTTTAACCATTTGAATTATTTCTTTGTGGCAGCAAGATATTCATCGAAATCGCGTAGAAATCGCGTAATCGAGAAATGAGCATAGCCAGGCTCTTGTGCTGGCATAAGCCATGTCTAAACCCGACCCAAGATGGCAGAAATAATTGGAAGGCAATTATTATTTGATACAGCTGAGCTTTATCATTTCTTCATTACACTTGGTTGGTCTCATTTGACTTACTCCAGACCCCGGATGTGACTCTGCGCTTTCCTGTACGCCTCAATACCCATCATTCACCCAGGCAGCAGTTGGGCAAATGAATGATGTTAATGAAGATATTACTCAATGATTATGCTCTGTTGTGTATGCGAATCCGCTTGGATATGATCAGCTGATCTGTCACTTCATGAAACTTCACTGCTCTGCCCATACGATTATCTTGGGCAGTGCGAGCAAGGATAAGGAGATCAGGAATGACCGGTATCAGCTTAATGACAGAGTAGCCGTCATTAAGGATGCCTATATCGTGCGTCAGAAGTCTCACGAGCAATCGGACAAGATTCTGGTCTTAGAAGCAGCACAAATTCTGGAAGCGCCATTTTCTTTCCCAAAATAGAATCGTGCTATTCAGTCAAAGATTTCATTAACCCGATGTAGTTGAAAAGGACAGTTTATACTAGTGGGAAAGCCTGACTCCGGTTTCCTGATTTACAGTTCCATGTCATTTCTTACCACCACAGCACCGGTCATAGGGGCATTCGAGACAAAAATCTTCCCTGAGAAAAAAACAACGCAGTACTCACCTAACATTGATAGAATATAATAGGATAGAAACATAACTATGGCTATGCCGTTGATCAGAAAGGAAATCCAGCATCTTGGCAGTTTCTCATAATCGGAAAGGTAACGTGAAGCGAACGAACGCTCGGTGATCATCGCCGGAATCATCGTCAACAACGAACACAGGCCGGCAAATCGTACAGCCACCGACACGAAAACGACAATGTCAAACCTATCCTCTGAAAATGTGCGATTAGTGATCCACAGAAGATTACAGAAATGAGCTCAACCTAAGCTTTCTGAAACAGGGAACGACTTGTGATGATAGTGTGATGAAATTCATCTTTTGTAATCGTTAGCGCTTGAAATCCTTCAGTGCTGCACCGTGATTGGAGTTCGAAAAAAGAAAAAGTAGTTACACAGTCAAAATTGATCACCTAATCTCCTAACTATTCTTGTCTCGTACAGTATGGCAAATATTCGTGAAGCCTCTGATACAGCTGTGGCCATAAGGTGCATCTGAAAATAAGTACTTGTTGGTTTGCCTCAGGACAAGCACTGTTTGTCAACATGTTTACACATTCTCTCTTTTCCATAGAGAATCCAATGGGTTGCATTCCTTCCACGAGAAGAAGATATTAGGTCACTGAATTTGGTCCAAGTCGGATTTTAGCAGATATGGATTAGTCACGACTTCCAAGAGGAAATGGGGGTCGCTTGCAAAGTACATGTAGTGATAAGTCAAGTTTGATTTGAGTCAACTGGACCTATTTCAGCGGGACCCACGAGTATTCGGCCAATAAAGCCGGGTAATTTGGATTTCAGTAACCAACCTCAACATTATTTAGAAAGGCTGGAATCAGCACTGAGTTGCACCTCATTCAGAAAGTGAAGACTGGTCAATACCGTCTAAGGGATGTGCCATGCATCCGACCTCCGTTCAGAATCGTAGTGAATTATTATTGAATTGTTATTTATTATTGAATGCGTATGTGGCCTATACAATAACTTGCGGTGACCAGCCGATGTACAGGTTAGTGCTTTTATCCTCCCAACTTAGTCTGGTACCAATAAAAGTATTGGAGCCAGAAAGTTCAGAAAGCTACCTTGCACGTCTGCTAATGGTCACAAATGGCAACATGCCACTTAGATATCAAGAATAAATGTTCGGCCGAGTACTTTGATTTTTGGAATGAATAGCTTGTAGATCAGGCTGTGCAGAAGTAATAGTAGTAGTAATAATAATTTGCCATACAATGTGCACTTATTTCCTAAGTTGTTACACTGTCGAAAAGGCTCGAAACCAGTTTTCTGCTTTTGATTCAAAAAAAAACGAGGAAAATGATCAGCTTCATACTGTATATCTAAACGAAGGTAAAGGACCCAGCTTAGAACGACTCGGTATTTGTTGAACATCCCGGTTACGACGATTAAGGAGAGATCCGTACGAGATTTCAGCATGCAGAGGAACGTGTCTGGCTATAAATATATATCACCGAACAACATTCACAACAAACGTGTCCCAGTTTGAATCATTTCATCATTCAAAAAGGTCAGACATGTATTTT